CACCTTCAGGAATGAGGACTGCATATTTTAGAGGGCTTCGTTTAAATAATCATCATTACTTTTGTTCAAAGAACAGTGACCTCATCTCAGAGAAGATGAAAAAAACGACATGGAAGACTGGAAAGATTAAAACGACATGGAAGACTGGAAAGATTAAATTAGAATGGGAGATAATTAAAACACAACAGAGAGAAATGGAGAGTAGTATATATCCTGTTAGTTTAAAAGAGGAATGAAACAGAAACACGTTTTATGTTTATATTAAGTTGAGACTGAAAGAACAAAGTTAATGTCATGTTTTACTTTAATGACCCAGGGGCACAATTGTGCTTGAACATAAATGACTTACATCCTAAACCCCCTGATTTACACAGTGAAGCAGGAAGTCCCTTTCCTATCTCTCACTCTCTTAATCATGGGTTTCATACTCATGTTGCTGAATCCCTTGGGACAAATGTAATATTTTTGCACAGTTGAACACACAGACACACACATTATTCCAACACCTTTATTGATAAGCACAATATAATTTGGTCTCTTATATAATAGATTTTATTTTATCATCAATCGTTGCTACATAGTGAAGTAAAAGAGAAGGGAGATGAATGGACACAGGGGACATTTGAATGATAAGAAAATGATATATCAGGAACACATCATTTTTCAAATATACATCAGTTGAATAAAATCATTCCCTTGTTCTTGGAAGGAATGCAAATGTTACAACAAAAACGTTCAACAAGAGCTGCCATAAAATGTCTCAACAAGACAAATCAAGTGATAAGATTATGGCTCATAAAGAACCAGACAGGCAAACAGGACCAGCTCTGGTCAGAAAAACAGAGCCATTTATAACCGGATCAATCTAGTACAAGTTTTTCACACGTCCAATATTTGAAAAATAATCTAAGAAGCCTGCACACCTTTGTTCTATGTCTACATTGGTGTGCATTCATTAAAGCCTATTTGCAGGTGCAGATGCTGCAGTATAAGCTGGTCCTTGTAGTCTGTGTTATTGCCCTACCCTAGTAACATTTCCTGGGCCAACCTGTCACCACACCTTGAATAATACATCATTGTGTGTGCATGTGTATGTATTTGTGTCAACTGGGCCTTTGTCCCTTCACTACTTTTAACGATTCTGTCATCCAAATGGTAGCACACTTCATTAAAGAGCTGCTTAATACACAATGATGTGTGTAGCTGTTTAAACAAGACAGAGAATGTGTGTGCGTGTATTGCATATTTTTATATTTTGTTTCCCATGTGGGGAGTTTCTGTGTTTGAGTCAACAAAAAGTCTGACGGAAAAAGTAAAACACTCATTTTATGAGGTCACACACATAGCCTGTGATAGAATCATTTCCACTTGTAAAATCACTCTAGGCCTCTACTGTATATCTTGGATGTGTGTGCCTATTTGTATTCTGTAGCATAGAGTCTACAGGTGTTACTAACATATGCCAGTCGGTGTCACCTCCACTAAAACCACCGCTGCCTCTTGACCAACCCCATTTTCAGACATCACACACACACACACACACACACACACACACACACACACACACACACACACACACACACACACACACACACACACACACACACACACACACACACACACACACACACACACACACACACACACACACACACACACACACACACACACACACACACACACACACACACACACACACACACACACACTTTCAACAATCTCTTATTGATTCAGTATGGTGGGTTGCTTGCTGTGTGAAGCTGATGGCATGTCAGGGCACAGCCCTGGAAACATCGGTCAATGATCTCACTCCAGTAAGAATAGACCTAGGAGATTAAACACAAATGCACCACTGAGAACAGAACAACAGCCGCAAAGGCACGAGTGATTTGAGAAGAGATGCTGACGAGACAAATTAATTAACTATAATGCATAAATCCTGGGAATCTTCAAAGAGATGCAAAACAGATTGTCAACAGATTTGACAAGGAGATGGTGTTTTGTTAATTCCCTGCGAATACTGAAAGAGTTGTTGTGGACTAGAGAGTGAAAACGGAACAGAGAAAAAGTGAAAAGCCCATGAAAGCATGCCGCCAGTGTTATTTAAAAGCTTATGTACAGTAGTTCCCAAAAAACATACATTAGAAAAACATCAAATATAGGACTGAGGGAAATTTGAAAGAAATAAAAATGACTGTTTTGTGCATGCAAACCTTCATGACTAATGTTGAAAAATATTACCCTAAATTACTTTTACCTAACAAAATATGGAAACATGCTTAAGCATCACCACTGTAGCCACAGCAAGCATTGGGATGTGGTAAGGTATCAAAGCAAATCCAAAATGGTTGTCACCACAAAGAATAGCTTGAGGATCACACACTCAAAATTACACAAACAGACCAATCCCTCAGCAATATGATATTAAACTACCATGAACATGAAACAGAGTGAAGGAAAAAGACACATATAGCCTGACAGTTTACATGGAACATGCAGGGATACACATACAAAAAGAGAAAAAAAGATATGTTTTACCAGCTGCTCTTACATTATTGATCAAATGTAACTGTTTGTGGGAAAACACAAACACATGTCAAGCCCAGCAAATGTTGCCATATGTTTGTCACTGTCACATTGTTTCTGTTGTATCCACTTACTCTGACCTTCACACATTTGAGCTATGGAGAAACATTTCTCTGGTTTAGTGTTTGTTTAGTGCTAGGTCCTGTTATTCCTCTGCTATATCAGCACCCAATAGAAGACCCACATTCTGGTGAATATGATGTGTTTGATATATTTATTTTGGGGAATTTAAAATTAAAACAAAATCAAATTTGGTCACTGCTGTTTGAAGGTACAACATAGTTCTATCAAGGTCATGCCAAGTCCCACATAATAAAACAGTATCTTTTTTTAAAAGCTTTACTTCTGAATATACAAATCCCCCAGATAAATGGTTTGAAAGCCTCTGAGTTCAATGAAACTGTAGTTCTCATTCACATTTTAGCAGGCATATCTTTCCCTCCCACTTAGAATACGATCCCAACACATTTCCATGTTGGTGTTTCCAGTTATAGCTGCAGTGTAATAGAGGCTACAGCACAGTGGGATGGGGGTGACTTATGTGAAATACCCAGAAGACCCTGTTCCTCTCCCTCCTACTCTATATGCCTCACACATGTCCAAGCCATCGGTTGCGCAAGAGACATCTTGCTGGGGGATATTGCTGTCATCCGATCAGCTTTGATGTCAGTGAATACTTTGCTGTGGCACTGATTAGGTACTGGTTGGATTATTTACAGTATAGTGTGTCCAGGGAAGAGCTCAGGCACACTGAGACAATAAACAGTTGAGCTTCGTTGCCTCAGATGATAACAGGAATGTCTTTAGCAGTTGCTCTGGGGATTGTTTTGCTTTTAGTTGAGCTTTGGACTCTTTTATTAAGGCAGCACGTCCTTTCTTCCTTACTTTGAGTGAAAAATCCCAACCATGATCAGGGTTCTTAAACATCGGTATCGCCAAGCTGCTGTTGGGCGCATTCACAAGTTATAGTCCAATGGTGGCACAAGCTAAAGCGGACGAAATTAAAACTATGCCGTGGGGAAAATACAATGTAGCTTTCATCTTGTTTTCACTCAGCACGGATCTACTCTGCGCACAAGCGGTTACTTTTATCCACAATTGCCCAACCAAACAACACCAGGTTTTAAATTGCACTTCGATTAAAACAGACTGTTTGTTGGCATGTCAAAGCGCCCTTAATCTTACCTGTTGTAGAAATAATTTATCGTGAGATTTCCTTTTCCTTCTGCTGTTAAGAAAGATGACATTATCAGGACACTGTTGGCAAACTACAGAGGAACAGTAGGCAGTGAGGAAAGGGCCAAGAGTATGAGTAGCTGTGTCTGTAGACTGATGTGTTTCCAGCTACTACAAGGCTGTCGGCTCAAATTTACAGAGGTGAAGGACATGAACCTCCCTCAGGAAGTTTCTAGAAGGGCTGCTCTGAAAGGAATGCGGGGCCGCTGAGAATCACACGTCTTCTGTTTCTGCAAAGCTTACTTAACCTTTAATTTATGATATCTCTTGTATTTTTTCCCTTTCATATCATGCTAAATGAAGCTGTGATGCACTCCAACAATCATTTGAGTATAATGGTTTCCATGTGTGTAACTGTACTGTACGTAAACTGTTGTTGTTCAGATTCACTCTCCTGAATACTGTATCTGACTTGTTTTCAAAAGAGTTTATATTGATCATTGACTGCTTTGAATGATTGACTTGGTTAATTGAGCATAAGCCTGTTGTGTCAATATTATTCTCAACCAGACGAGTCAACCTAAAAAAGTATAAACAGATGAAAAAGGATCTGAAGTGCTAAGCTGATATCACTCCTCTGTCGAATTAACACTTTGGTTGGTTACAGTCCAGTTCCTCAGATGACCTTTAGGGGATCTCATGGCATCAAGAATATCAAAGACCAAGAGTATCAGATTGATACAAGCCTGCTTTCAAAAGCAAGCAAGCATTGAAAGAAGCCATATTCGTGCAGCCCTAGCAACTTCAGTTTCACAGTCAGAAACTGTGAGACTCTTTTGGATTCTGTCAGCTGAGGACAGAAAACTCTCCATGTGGGTTTCTCTGCTAAGAGCTCAGGTTTAGTAATAATTCACTATGACCACAGTATCTCTCAACCTCAGTGAGATCTAAATATTTTAAAGTATGGCCTTAGCAAATTTGAATGGCTCTATAAATATCAGCGGGCATCCTTTGAAAGGTTTGTGCTATTTTATCCATGTAAGCTAACTTACAAAAATATAAAATATAATACAAAATCAAAGGACATATTGAAATAAAGAAGAAGTGTACACCCTTAACTCATTCTCTCTCTCTCTCTCTCTCTCTCTCTCTCTCTCTCTCTCTCTCTCTCTCTCTCTCTCTCTCTCTCTCTCTCTCTCTCTCTCTCTCTCTCTCTCTCTCTCTCTCTCTCTCTCCAGGGCCTTCAGTGTTTCTAAACCTCCTCCTGTGGCACCAAAGGTACAGTAACATAGCATGTCACTGAAATAACACACACATATTTACTTGTGTGCACAGATTTGTATTTGTATATAAAGATGTTTTTGCAATGTTAATATCGTATTCACTCAAAGCACACCCCGGTGAACATGTACAATGCTGAAATTTAAATATTATATTTTTAATTTATACCATCTAAAGTTTGATGAAAAAGTAATTGTCATTGACATTATGGCATACTCAACATTTTACTCGATTGTATGTCATTTTTGTTTCATTGAGTCTTGGATGAAACTTTGTTCTTCCTCTTCATAATTTTTTCTTTCGAAAATGTCATTGTTCAACCAACTCTGGAGGTACTATAGAACAGGAAAAAAAGTCAAGACATGAAACATATTTTTAATCATATTCAATATGAAAAAAATATTCACTTGGGTTACCAAGTGCTTTGAAACCTTTTGCTACACCCTTCTGAAACGTTGCCATGCATGCATTAAAACCACATTTACTTTGATCGATGTAAATACTTTATGTAATTATTATTATTTCTCATATTACTACATCTGTTTTTCATTTAAAATGAGAGTTAAGTATACTGATGCTTCTCAGGACATATTATAGGGACAAAATACATTTCCCCAGCTATTCCTAAATTCAATCCTACTATAATAAATATACTGATCATATGTTTTATACAGTATAAAGCCTATGGAACAAACCAAACCTGAGAGGCATCAGTATAGTGTGCTGTGTTGTGATTTGTTTTTTGTTTGTGTTTGCATGCTCTTCTCTCATGCCGGTAGGACGAAAGATCAGACATCATAAAACCAGTTGCCCTCACCCATCCCCCTCCACCCATTCCCTACCCGCACTCCTCCAGCCCCTCAGCCACCCACTACAACAAGGCCCCCAGACCCTTTGGGGGCTGCGGGACAGAGAGTGAATACCCTCCTTCACAATCCTCTTACTCACCCTTCATCCCATCCCCATCCTCTGCCTTCACTCCTGCCTCCTCCTACACCATCCCCCCTCCTCCACCTCCTGTCTCTTACCCATCCTCTTCCTCCCCCTCCCCCCCTGGCCTTGTTGCACCCCAGCCATCAGTGTATAACACACCAATCCACCTCTACTCCACTGAGAACGCATGTGAGGTGGCCATGGGGCAGAGGCGGGGCCTGTTGGAGAGTCAGGGCGGAGCCTTGCCTTTGGAGTTTAATGGGTGAGTGGTGTTCACTCTAGCCAATCAAATATACGAATCAATCCATTCTCTGCACTTTATCTCCCTCCGACTTTCTGCGTCTTGGTTCTGTTCAAACTTTCAAATGGGAGATGAAATGCTCCTTGACATGTATAATGTATATGTGCTATATTATTTTAGGGGTTTTTCAAAGCTTATGTCAATGTTTATGTTCGTTACTGGCTCCAGTCTGGAATCTTGAAATCTTTTCAAAGTTCACATCAGAAATCAGAATCATATGTCTTTTTTGTGTTTCCTTTATAAAATAACATATTTTAAAACAGATCAAAATACTATTTTGCTAACTATTAGGATCTCTGCAAAACAAGCCAAACTTGGATGCCTCTGGTTTGAGTCTTGTTTATTAAAGTGTTGAAATGTAACACTCAAAATGTGGCAATGTGCTGCTGGTTTGGTTACCATTTAACAAACAGATGTCACCAATCAGTAATACTTTCAGTTATTTGTGTCCTATGTAATGTTAGACAACTTCATAAACAAATCTGGAAACACTGATGTTTAAGCAAAATAAACTAGGTTTATAAACCATTTGTTTGCTTTAGGAACCTCAGGGAAGGGAAATTCTGTACTAAAAGATATGTAAGAGCTGGGTCTCTGCGATAGATAACTAGATAATTGATGGTCTTTAATTCAGCGTTGGCATTCCCGTTAAAATAATGAAACATATAATAGGATAAGTCAAAATAATATCCCTGGCAAGAATGTCATATATCCAGTAGGGGAAGAAGTACTCCTTTAGAAATACAATTAATTTAGAACATTTTAGATAAACTCTGTGAAAAGTTAAAGTCTTAAAAGGGGTTAAAGTGGCAGAACTCAGTGATCACTGTTTTCTCTCTCTGTGACACTCGGCACACACCAGCAATCTGCACAACATAATCTTATGCCATCTGGACGTGCACAAACACACACCATTGAGTTTGGTACATAGCCTTCCCAAAGTTTTTATTTTTTTATTTAGCCTTTATTTATACAGGTGTAGATCTCATTGAGACACAAGGTCTCATTTTCAAGAGAGACCTGTCAGTGGTAACACTACCACACAAAGTTACAGACAGACAGGACACTAAACACAGAGGCAACACTAAAATACAACATCGTAAAAAAGTAGTCAGTCAAAGTATTCCTGATGTCATTTGATAGCATGTAATATTATACCAAGGCAAGATCTGGACCTGTCTTCAGTCTTTTGGGCTTTGACCTGCTTTCTTCATGTAAACATTTATATTTCAATGTTCTTTTCATCTTTAAATCATTGTTGCATATTCACAGTAAAAGCACTGTCAGTAGAGCTCAACATGCGGTATCGGTAGACCCATTCTTTTCTTTTTCTTTTTTTGGAATTTGAAATAACTAGTTTTTTCCTTTATTCCCCAATTTGTGCAAACACATGTGGTCAATTTTCCACACATACAATGGCAACATTATATGCTATTGATTAGCAACCCATAAAAGGGAACAGATTAGGCGCCTGCCAGTGAAAATGAAAATGATTAATATGTATTTTTTATATTACTGAGGTCAGAATGTAAGACTGCATGTGTGTGCATCCTTGCATCTTGCTTACCTGTTTGCATGCTTCAAATGATCTGTGTGGTTCATCTCAGAAGGGTTTTTTGAATGACACCTTTGAATGTATTACTGTAAAATGACAAAAGTGTGGACATGTCTATGTTCTCTTTCCTTCTCCCTACCTTTCAACCCTTGTGTTCCTGCTTTGCAGACTGCGGCTTGTCAACAGATCACAAAGTTAGTCCCTGAAGCATGTCGTTATGAGTGTTGGACTGCCTGCTTCCTTTTTTTCTATCCACCGTCTTGTGTCTACAGTATCATGGCAGCTGCATGCATTTGCCTATGATTTTACTGCAGTGCATGATTTATGCTAGTTATGTGAATAGTGTAGTCAGATTATCTTTTATGTTGTAATTATGCAAGAACTGCAGCACACATGCATTCAGCTAATTAAAATGGAACATGTTGTGTGTAATACAAAATGCTGAAGCCACAGTGAATTGTTTAACTATAAATCACTTATAGAGTGGCACACCCATACAGGCTGTTTTGTCAGACACCTCCAGTCTAACTGTAAGTGTGTGACCAGGCTCACATAGAGCCGTCAACACTCCCACACCCACATAGCTGCTGTAGTGACAAGAATGTGTTGAGACACTCATAAATAAGTCTATTCATTGTGCTAGGTAAGTGTTGGTGGGTGTGTGTATTTATAGTTGATTTATTAACAGCGGGGTCTGACTACTCTTCAATGCCCTTTTGTGTGTATGTGTGTATATTTGTCATAGGAGTTGATTTATTGACAGTCAATTAGTAAAAAGGCCTGTCAGCAGCCTTTTTGCAAAGATTGTAGGTTTGCACACATTTTATGATGTGTTCCCAAAAACACACACACGTTAAATCATGTTTATGCTAAACACTCATGTGTTTCATTATATTTTAATTCCATTGAAATCTTCCTTTTTTTACTGTCCAAATTATGAATGACGAGACTTTTATAAGAGTCAAGACAATCCAGTAGCACCACCATGTGGTTGGAAATAGATCGTTGATTTGGGTGTTTTGCATGCATTGGGAGTCGTGGTCCATATGGGTTTTAACTTTTATTATTTACTTTCAGCTATTATACTGCCTGCTTGTTAACATTTACTTTGATACTTTTTTTAAATGACTTAATTAATTCGTCATAACTGTGAATATTCCTCTTTCTCTGCTTTCCTATCCTTTTAGTGGACCTCAAAGTATTTTAAAGTAAGTCTTTTCTGTCTCTTTATGACTGTTATAAATGTATCTGATTTATTTTTAGCCTGCCTTTATTCACTCTATTTCTCTTTTCTTCTGTCCTGCTCTTTTCTGTCGACGGTTTTTAAGAAAACCCCAGCCACCAAGGTATCAGATTGGTTCAGACCTAGACACCAAATTGAACAAAGTGCAGTCTGCTGCATTTCCAATTCATGTAACCTCCAGTCTAAAAAGATGCCATTCCTCTAACTGAATTATTGTGTTTTTAATAACGTAAATATGTGTACTGTATATCACTGTAAATCCTTGGTTGAAATTAACCTCATAAAAAGACTAAATACGGCTTTGTTTCACAACACACTCTGATGGTCGGAGCTAACTATCTACAGTACACTACAACAATTTAACAAGTGTACCTTTCACTTTCATCAATCATGTAAGAGAGAGGATTTGAATTCAAAAGTATATTTGCTGATATTATCCATCCTGTCCTTCCAGAGTGCCCAGGAAACATATCGTGGACACAGACATCCATTTCTATCATGTGCCCACTCATGCTGATGCCAGCAGGAAGCGCATAACGGAGGACACAGAGGACTGGCACCCACGCTCCGGCACCACCCAGTCCAGGTCTTTCAGGATTCTGGCTCAGATCACCGGAACCGAGCGTGGTGTGTTACTGAAAAACGTTTCCATAGTCTATCTTTAGTGCACCTTATATAGTTAATGTACCTGAACCGTTGACTGAACACATCTGAGCAAAGGGCAACAATAAATAGTCAAATAAACATGGCAAAATCAATATGCATACTGTGAACCATAGTATTTATGTTTCGAATGAATGAGAAACTAAGGCTCTATTTTAATTAGCTTAAAATACAAGCTAAATACTACCCTTTTTTATTCTTTAATGGACTTTTTATATTTTCCCTTGTAGCTCAAGACGAGGAAGCTGAGGCAGCCAAGACGAAGTAAGTGCAATGTTTGTCCAAAACTCCTTATAATCCATTGTGTTTGTGCATTGTTTTTTGTAACTATACTTTCCAAAATTGGGGTTAACCCTCTTCTTTGGGCTAACATATAAAGTCCACATTAACATACAAGCAGTCCCAAAAATCAGATCTCTATGGCACATTTCTGGCAGCTTAATTGATGCTGGGTGGTCTCTTCCTGTCTAGACGGCAGAGACAGGATCATATTTGAGGCATTAAGTCAAAAGCCAGACCTTTGTACACCTTGCAATATGTTCATTTGTACAGTAGTTGCTCCAAAAGTTCAGAAAGCGGTTTTAATACCCCTCTGAGATTACTGAAAGTTATTTTGTGTGATGGTGTGTGTGCTCCTACCGGTTGTCTTTGCAATGGTTTGTGGATGTGACAACCTTGCAGTGCTGCATTTTGTTTTGACATTTGATTGTGTCGTGAACAATCATGGCTGGTATGTTGGTGTTGCTCTTAGTGTGATGTGACCCATTGGCTGTCCATTGCTTTTTGTGGTTTGTTGCGATACATGTGATCAATGTGTGTCTGTGGTCATTTGTGTTAACATGCAGACATTTCCTTTCTGTGTGCTGTTTCCTTACTGTGAAATGTATTCATCATTTCAGTCCATATTGGCCATGATCCATGAGCTGCATTAAGACCTCATGTGACAGGAGTTAACTGTTCTCCAGATATTCCTTACAGTTTATTCTCTTTATCTCTCTGTATTGATTTCTGTCATTTTCTATTCTGATGATGACAGCATAACTTCACATATCCGACCCATCAAATAGTTTTCTGTCTACAATCAGCATCTTGTTTGTGGCGTCAGCCCTTACCATATCATCAGGCTTTCCTTGTAGCATGGCTTGTAAGTATATCTTATGAATTCAGGGCAACCTCTCTGCGTTTCCTAAATTCTTCTTTTCTTTCTTGTTTGCTGTGTTTTTCTCTTCTTTTCTCTCTCCTCCTGTGACAGCAAAGCGAACAAGACCACCACTCGAATGTTGATTGGTCCTAAGTACAACGAGCTGAGAGACTGGCATCACGGAGTGTCTGCTCGCACCCTCAATGTCCAGTAGACTGTGTGTGCGTGTGAGTGTGTACCTGTGTATGTGTGAATTATATCAGTTTTACTTCTGTGGGTGGTTTTCTGATGAATTAGATTGCTTAAGGGATAACATCATGGAAATAAATTAAATAAACGTGGAGTGACTGTTCAAAGGAACTATTGGGTGTTTCTGTGTGTGTGTGTGTGTGTGTGTGTGTGTGTGTGTGTGTGTGTGTGTGTGTGTGTGTGTGTGTGTGTTTGTGTGTGTGTGTGTGTGTTTGTGCGCGTGTGCTTGGGCTTGTCCTTGACCGTTTATTTTAATTAGCCTCATTCAGACTTTTAAATTGAGCGTTACTGATACGTGTCTGGCCATTGGCCAATCTACTGAACCTAAAGGTCAACTTTAGGAGCATTAAAACTAACTTTCATTTGTGTTATTCATTGTACTTGAATTTGGGTTTGATTAAAGCATTTTTATGCTCCTTTCGGTGAACATGGTAGTGATTTGGTAAAAAAAAATAGCTTTCTGCATTCGTGGTCTTTCACATTTTTCAATGGCAGATTTTTGTTAAGAACATACAGAACTTTTAATCCCATTTATTACAGATGTGTGACATTAAAGTTGTTCCTACCACTGTAATATAAGTCACTCAATGGGGAGGTGTGTGGTTTGGAAAAAGGAGACATTTCTCACATCGGAAAATAGCTAATCTGGCTTGTGTGCACTCTCACACGGCAGTGTATGTTTTTCACGTATTTTGGAAGTTTGTTAAGATATATTATATGGAAGATTAGTCAAACCTATTCAATAGCTTTAATGGTTTGTTTATGGCATTGGAACTAACTGATCAAGGTTTGATCAGTTTTCAGTTTTCAGTTATCAGTTTTCAGTATCTTGAAATATGGTGGCAGCTGAGTAATGGAAAAAGAGATTTAAACTTACAATGTTTGTACAGTTTATATAAAGCAATAGTTAAAAGGCCATTCTCCTTGGATGTAAGCAGCTCTACAGATAGGTGCTGCATGATAAGAGGTATAATAGTCAGAAAGGCTCTTTTCAGTGAGCAGGTTGTTCAGATAAGATGTTTTTCAAAGTTACTGTATAAATCCTATTAATGGATTGTAATGCTAAGGTTTTATTTTGAGACCTTTTCTATATATAATATTTCTCCAGTGCCTTTACATATATTTCATCCCTATGTTTACTACAGAATGATCACTTTAAAGCCCAGAGACAAAAGTGTAAGTTGTGATATTAGGCTATATAAATAAAAAATGATTGATTGACTTTAATGACAAGTTTCTTCTTTGTAGAATTTCATTCTGTTGCATTTAAATAGTTTTTTGAGTTTGAAGACAAACTATCATACTATATTAGAGCTAATAAAGTGATATGATTTTTTCTTGTTTCCTTTTCTCTCTGTCTCTGGTGTCCCTGTCATTTCTTCCTTTCTCCCCTACTTCCTTAGTTCCTTCACTGAATGTTCTTCTAAATGTCTCTCTGAAACTGAGACAAACAGTGGAGAGGTCAGGTATAATTTATCATTTAAACCTTTTTTTAATCCTTCACCTGTCATGATAAATTGTCCCGCAACACAGTAGTCACTTCTGATAAGACATTTAAGGGTTTTTGATAAATAACAGACACTAACGTCTATTCTGTGATTCTGTGTACAAACATTTAACCAAATGTTTAATACATTGATGTGTCACACACTTACAACTTTTTGCAAGGTTTAACACTGATTTACAATGTTCTAATCTTTTCACACCTGCACTATAACACATTTACTCTTTAATCTAAGATCTATATGGTTAAGTTACACCAAAAACTAAGTACTATTATGCTTTGCTATCTGTTATCTGCCAGTGACAGATCTCCACATAAATCATCTGAAGTCGGAGTTTCACACCCAGCATTAAGTGGACGTTATGATGCAGGAGCCACACCCACATCTGTTCACATTGACCAACCACAGCCACAGGGGTCAGGTTCATCCGCCAATCAGCAACAGCCAGCGAAGGACGCAACAATCCCCAATTATGCCCACATTTCCAAACCTGGCAGCCTCTTCATAACTCAACACCAAGAGAACGATGTGTCTTGTACAACAGCCCTTCACTTGGTTGCCATCCAAATTATGTATTCAAGTTCTGTTGACATGTTTTGTCAGAAATACTCAACCAATGTGTCCAACATGAGCTATCGTGGTGCCTTACTGGTTCAACACCAAGTCAAATACCATCATGTAATTAGCAGAAGTTAAATGACTCTTCTCCTGATGCCAGCAAACATCCCACATGTTCTTGGACCCAGTCCTGTTTATACCCAAATTATAGCATCCTGTTTACCTGTTTCTTGTCCATCACCTGTTCTATATTTGTCACATGCTAGCGACTCCTCATTAGGTCAAATCAAAGCACCAGATGCTTCTTCTGATCATGTCCCTATTGATGGACCACCAGCTTCAGATAGTACTGTCACACAGTCACCAAGCCTGGGACTGCCCACAGCTGAAAGGTACATCGGGTTTGAGATAAAAGTTCTTAGTGTGACCCCAGAATGCGTAATTGGTCCAAAAAGAATGTGACTCTGATCATTTGCTTTACTTTGGTTACCCTGGTCTAGCAATTGCCCTCTGACACCACTAGAGGACAGCACAGACTCAAAAAAGTTTGAGTGCTGTGGACTTATAATTTATCAAGATGGTGATGACCACAAACTACATACTCAAGCTACCACGTCTCTGCTGCAAACTCAGTGTGACCTTTCATTTCAACAAAGGTGCTGCATAACAATTACAATGTTTTGATTCACATCAGGTAAAGTTTTCACTGGCAGGTCATTAATTGCTCCAACTATCTTTCCAATCTGTGATGTCTGTTCCCTCAGTTCCCCGGTCAAAGTTATTACTCATCTATCTTATATATCAGCACGTCATCATGTGCTTTCCACCAAACGAGTCAGGTACTGTACAGTTGTTCACCTTTATTGATCAATTTGACACACTTACTGACATATTGTTGGTGTCATTTTTAAATGTTTCTCTCTGGAGAAATATAATTTTACTTTGTGTATTTATAAACAGGAGAGAACTTCTGTCAAGTCCTCTGAACTTCTTACCTAGAGCAGCTCCCTGCCCCCCTCCACTCACCCCAAGTGCACCCAAACAGACCAAACAAAACACAAACCCTGAACACCGAAGTCCAATGTGTGTGTGTGTGTGTGTGTGTGTGTGTGTGTGTGTGTGTGTGTGTGTGTGTGTGTGTGTGTGTGTGTGTGTGTGACCTAGCATTACTATCCTTGTGGGGACCTACATCTGTTTACACAGTCACGTGTGGGGACTCGCCTCCCTTATGGGGACATAATGGAGGTCTCCATGAGGGGAATCATTAATTTAATTTTAGGGTGAAGACTTGGTTAGAGTTAGGCATGTGTTGGTTAAGGTTAGGATAAGTCTCCAGGAAATGCATGTAAGTCAATATAATGTCCCCTGAAGTGATGTGTGTGTGTGTGTGTGTGTGTGTGTGTGTGCATATGTGTGTGTGTATGTGTGTGTATGTGTGTGTGTGTGTGTGTGTGTGTGTGTGTGTGTGTGTGTGTGTGATGTATGTGTGTGTGTGTATGTGTGTGTGTGTGTGTGTGTGTGTGTGTGTGTGTGTGTGTGTGTGTGTGTGTGTGTGTGTGTGTGTGTGTGCGTGAGCATGATTATCCCTGAAAGTATCCAGACATGTATTCCCTGCCAATTATCCCTATCTTAAGTTTCACCACTATTTCCCTTTGATACTCTTCCTCATCTCTTCCTCAATGTGACGTCAGTGTCAGAACAACTTATCAGCGCAGGCACCAGTCTCCTGAGAAATCAGTGTCTCAGCGCTTATTGGATGCCCTGCTCATCAGTCCAATCACTAAAGCTCCGCCACTACTCTTGAGGAAAAA